CCCACATAAGAAACGGGTAGAAAATTCAAACCATGCCCATACCCATTCGGGTTTCGGGTATCCACGGTTATCCATAGGTAATAGTTTTTCTTTATAACTCCAACCAATATGTTAATATTTACACGTATTCTCACGTCACGTAAGACGAAAAGTACGATAATAATTCACTAGAATGAAGAAAATTAATTAAAACAACACAATTTCATACAAATTTTATATTTATATGCTAAATATAAAATATGTTAGAGAAAAATATTGATTATTTCTACACAAAATACATATGCATGTGTACAATCGGACGGGTTCAGGTTAGATAATGATAAAACCACGCCCACCCATTACCCACAATATTCAGGTTCAGGTTTTACCCATATCCACTAAAAATTCTTCGGGTTCGAGTTTTATCCTAGCCGATTAGATCAGATTCAGACGAATATCCACGGTTACCGATATTTTTGCCAGACCCGCAACACGGACAAGTTGAAAAAAAGGTTATCTTTATAAACGTCTCTGATAATCATGCACGTTCGTGATAATTGTACATAACGCTCTCGTACTATCGCCTTCTTGCTCTCCCCTGCTTTTTTCAAATCCATTTCTTACCCGACAGGCAGCAAGCAAGCAATGGGTCCATTATTCCATATGGGGAAGGACGAATTGATGATTGATTGCCCCAGCCAGCTAACATTCATCAATGCGAGAAAAAAGGAAGCAGCTTTTTCTCACACTGAAGTAAAAAATTAGAAGAAAGGAACACTCTGTCACTCTGCGATCATCATCTTCCACACCCAACCACCAATAAATTAAAACCTACAACAATGGTAGCCGTCTTCAACAAAGATCTCCTCAGTTGGTATCTCATCACCCTCAAGCTCCGCGAAACCGTCGAATCCGCCTCCGCCGCCACCGCTGCCGCCGATTCCCATTCTCCCGCCGCTCCCTTACTCCTCGAATACCCACAACAACCACCACCACCGCCTCCCGATCAATCCAAACCGCCGTCGCCGGATTCCGATTGGGTTATATCGATTAAAGACAAACTCACCCAGGCTCGGATCGACGACGCATCCGCCTCATGGGAGCGATTCTGCATCTACAGAGTCCCCCACTACCTCCGCGAAGAAGACGACAAGGCCTACGCCCCACAATTGGTCTCTCTGGGTCCGTACCACCACGCCAAGAAGCGGCTCCGGAAAATGGAGCGCCACAAATGGCGGTGCCTCCACCGGGTCCTGACCCGAACCGATCACGACATCCGCCTCTACCTCGACTCCGTCAGGGAGCTCGAAGACCGGGCCCGCTCCAGCTACGAGGGCGGCTCGGCGGCGATTTCGATGGGCAGCAACGAATTCGTCGAAATGCTGGTCCTCGACGGCTGCTTCGTCATCGAGCTTCTGAGAGGCGCGGCGGAAGGGTTTCGGGACCTAGGGTATTCGCGAAACGACCCCGTTTTCGCGATGAGGGGATCGATGCACTCGATCCAGAGGGATATGATTATGCTGGAGAATCAGATCCCACTTTTCGTGCTGGACAGGCTGATGGGTCTTCAGCTGAACGAACCGGACCAGACCGGTATCGTGGCCAGGCTAGCGATCCGGTTCTTCGACCCGCTGATGCCCACGGATGAACCGTTGTCCAAATCGGATCGAACCCGGTTGGAGTCCTCCCTCAGGACTCTGTCCTCGTTCGACCCGTTGTCCGACCTGGGAGGCCTGCATTGTCTGGACGTGTTCAGGAGGAGCCTGCTCCGGTCCGGACCCAAACCGGTGCAGCGAGTCTGGATCAGGAAGCGATCCCACAGCGAGCGAGTCGTGGACAAGCGACGACAGCAGCTGATACATTGCGCGATCGAGCTGAAGGATGCCGGGATCAAGTTCAAGAGGAGGAGGACGGACAGGTTCTGGGACATCAGGTTCAAGAACGGAGTGCTGAAGATGCCCAGGATCTTGATCCACGACGGGACGAAATCGCTGTTCCTCAACCTGATTGCGTTCGAGCAGTGCCACTTGGACTGCAGCAACGACATTACGTCGTACGTGATCTTCATGGACAACCTGATCAACTCCCCCGAGGATGTCGCGTACCTGCACTACTGTGGGATTGTGGAGCACTGGCTTGGAAGCGATGCCGAGGTTGCCGATCTCTTCAACCGGTTGTGTCAGGAGGTGGTCTTCGATGTCAATAACAGCTACTTGGCACGAATGTCGGAGGAGGTGAATCAGTATTACAACCACAGGTGGAATGCCTGGCGAGCGAGCTTGAAGCACAAGTACTTCGGCAATCCATGGGCGATCATCTCTTTGTTTGCTGCGGTTGTTCTCTTGGTGCTTACTTTCACGCAGACCTTCTATGGTGTTTACGGCTATTATAGGCCTAGGACCTGAGAGGCTGGAACTCCGGGTCATTTTTTGTTTAAGTTTACATTTGTTGGTTCGATTCTTTGCTGATTGTTTGTCCTTAAGAGAGGTTCTGACTGATTTCATCTATAAAGAAGAAGAAGAAGAAGAAGAAGAAGAAGAAGAAGAAGAAGAAGAAGAAGAAGAAAGGTTCTGATTGTATGATAGGCAGAAGTAGTTTGAGAAGGAATTGCATTGCTGCATTGCTTTACTACGATTAATGAGAGGAACAAAGCCAGCCAACTCCAAGCATTGTTTTTTTATATAAGGGGAAATGCAAGGTTGGGACTCGTTTCTGCAAACCAAATGAAAACAAGTGTTTGCTGCTGCATCAGTTCAGTTCAATTCAACCATGCTTTGAAACAACTAGCCAGAAAAAAGCCATCCAGCAATCCGAAAATCATACAACTACTAGAGATTCTTTACACCTAAATTTCATCAACAAGAGTAAATGAATCACATTAGGATCAACAAGGAGGCTGAATCTGGCCTTAGAGAATTCACTTTTATGCTTCTCTAAACTAGTATAGACATATAAAAATTCACAGTGGTGCGATATAAACGAGTACAAAATGCGAAAATGAAACAGAAAGTTAAAATAAAATCAGGGAACCAAAATTAGACCCCTCGATCAATGTCTAGGAACAACCCTGCTTTTCCACCCTCTCTAGATTCTCAACCTGCAGAAGGAAAGGATCCACATGAAACAACTCAGAGCTTGTTGTAATTTGTCAATCAAATTTCAGAAGGAAGTAGAAAGGTTTCCTGCTTCATCTAGGGTATGATATAGAGAAGTTATACCCGAGGCATTCAATCCCTAGTCAGGTTATCACTTGATGGTGTCTTCTTCCCATCATATCGCTGTTAACGAGAGTAAATAACCAAACAATCAATTAATATTATTTACTCTGGGGCACAAATGCAGCTGATTATTCAGAATTTGACGAACAGATCTACTGAACAATGGTTGGGACATACCTGCTTGCCGAAAGAGAAAGGAACATATTTGTATTTGACCATATGCATAATCTGTCTTCTCATTGTGAGGATAAACAGCATGATCCAGTAGAATAGAAGTATCGGCCAGAACACAGGCACATCAAACACCGCGAAGAATGTCATGTGAAACGCTATGCAGAAAGCCTTGGTAATAGAGTACCTTCATGAACACAAACGTAAGAAGATAACAAATACATAAAGTACACCAAAATTCCACAAAACAAAGAATAATGCCTAGATTAAACTTCACCCTTATCTACCAAGGTGAGCACCTATAATGAATCTATCAGAAGAAGAAATTGAAGAACAGGAAGCCAATCAAGGAAAAGTAAAGACAACGAGAAGATATTTGGGCAATGAATCTATCTCATAGATTAAATTGCACAATATAATCAGCTGATTAAGTATACCAGCCACCCAACCCTCATCCCGTCCGTTCTCTTCCCTTCCTTTTCCTCTCTTCAGAATGAGCAAGGGTTAAAAGCCAATCCAAACAAAATACCCCAAAGAAAGCTACAAGTACATTGTTCAATCACAGAAAGCAATCTCTTTGAAGCATTTCATCATTCACCTAGTATGCAGTTCTATAATCACGGTCAAAATAGCCGACAAACAGCTGCTAAGGAAACAGAAACAGAAAAGAACCACAATTTCTGATAGGACCAAACATTTAGGCAATCAAAATGCACAGGAATAGAAGAAACCAAGCGAAATCGACGAAGCAGATCAATCTTACAAAGATAAACGAAACAAATAGAATTAGGAACCCAAACAACCCTATTCCAATCCTAAGTAATTTTACCAGAACTTGAACTCGGGGAGGCGACGGACGAAGGGACGGAACTCATCGGATCCGCGCGTGGGGAGCGAGGGGCCGTCGCTGACCTCCGGGTCAATCTGCGGCGAGAGGAATCCAATCAACAGGTTGAGCATGTAGATTCCGAGGCCGTAGGTAACGATGTAGAATCCCTGAACGAAGTAGACGCGCAATCCGTAGATTAGAGCGGCCAGAAAGCATCCGATCCACCGGTACCAGATGTGCGGCACCGTCTTGTCCAGCATGTGCTGGTACCGCCGCGTGACGGCGAACGTCCACTGCGAGACGACGGCTGCGGGGGACGACGACAGGGATGAGAGATCATCTCCAGATAGGGCTCCTCCATTGGGCTGCTGTGCGGTCTCCATGCGCCCAGCAACAACAACAAGCTCTCTCCGTCTCTCTCCCTCTCTCCGTCTCTCTATCGAGATCGATTTACAGATTGAATTACGCGTTCGCCAGCTTTCTCCTTATTCTCCGCCGTCTCCGCCGTGGATTTGCCGTCTATGGTTCTCCGGAACTACTTCGCGAGGTTGTTAGATGGGGAAATGGTCATTCTTGAAGAACTGTCGGTTTCCAGAGCTCCGCTCTTCCATTGATTCTATGCCGTTGACGTGTCTCTCCTCCGGGTCCGGGCTGGACCGTTCGGCCCGTTTCAAATTCTCTCAGCCGATCATTAAGAAACCCAATAGGCCCAGTATCAAAGGGCGGCCCAATTAAATCCAACTCCGGCGTTATTTGCTTGGAGAAATAGTTCAGTTCGTTTTCTTTTCTTTCCTCGAGGCGCAGGATCTAATTCCAAATTCCCGTTGATGATTCGAATTCGATGGAATTCACTCTCATTCTTCTCCGCCATTGATGTGGCTTCTTCGAATCTCTTGCTCTTTGCTTATCAGAGTGTCTTTCTTGGATCTCCTCCGTCCCTGGATTGGTGGCGGCAGAATTCAGAGGCTGAAATTTTCACGAATCATTTGTTGAAATAGCTACAACTAGTGCGGCAATGAATTAGAACAATTTGCCGAACCACGTTGCAGTTATTGTTGAATCTGCAGGTTTGGATTTCTCCACCGGAAATTCCTTTGAATTGGATTCCGTTGTTTCCTAAATTGTTGTAGTCATTGAGAGCGAAATTATGATGGATTCCGAATCCGCCGACTCGTCTTCATCAGCGCAACCTCCTCCTGCAAAACCTACTTCCACAGCAGAGCCTATTGCGATAGCTTCGAATGTCGATTCTTCTGATACGTCTTCTAACGCGGAGCCCTCGGTTCCAACTGGAACTACGGCCGATCATCCAGCTGAAGAATCACGAACTACAACTGCGGAATGTAAGGATGCGAATACAAGTCTGCCTACGCCGACGCCGCCACCGCCACCGGACTCCGTGGCTACAAGTTCTGGTGGTTCCACCCTTTCTCGTATTACTAGTGGCATCGGATTGCGTCTCTCTGCAATGGCTTCTGGATCAGAAGAGGCTTCTCAAGGCAGTGCAACAACAGCTGGGCAGGGTGGTGTTCTTGAATCACTGACGAAGGGCTTGGTCGACTCATCTCGGAGTGCCGTCAAGGCTATCCAGGTCAAAGCTCGCCATGCTGTTTCTCAAAATAAACGCAGATATCAGGTAGCGTTATCCTGTGCCTAATACGCGTAGGGATCTTACTTTTGGTCTCCAGCATTGTTCTGAAGGGAACATTCTGTCACGTAATAATTTGCCCTATGTGCAATTGCTTGCTGATGTGCTCCTCCTTGATATTCCGTTTGTGAACAATTGACTGGATCATAGGAAGGAGGATTTGATTTGGATATGGCTTACATCACTGAGAACATCATTGCTATGGGGTTTCCGGCTGGTGATTTGAGCTCTGGGCTTTTCGGGTTCTTTGAGGTAAGTTTTGTTGCGAGACATTGGCACCCAGGATTGACTAGCTCATTTAGACTTCCTCTTAATAATATAGGAGCTCAAACTTTGATATAGGGATTCTATCGGAATCACATGGAAGAAGTGATCAGATTTTTTGAGAGTCGCCACAAGGTAGTGTCTGTTCTGAACTCAATTGGTGTACTGTTGTTCATTTGTGTAACTGGTTACAGGCCTGGTCTTGATGATGGAACTATTTTAAACCACTCAATGTATCGAATTGAGGTAAATTTCCAGAGTTAACTTATCAGGGGATTAACTTAAACTCACCCTGGGTACCATTTCCCAAGAGCAATGATAGCAGTACTAATGGTTTCATTCATGTGGGAATTCATTGGTTCTTTGTCTATGCAAGTGTATTAATATCTCTTGCCACTGATGCAGGGAAAATATAAAGTGTACAATCTATGTGCAGAGAGACTGTATGACGCATCACGGTTCGAGGGGAAGGTATTATAACAGTCTTCTTCCTCGTCACTAGGCTACTTCTTCATGAAATTTCCAGTTTTCGTTTAAGAAAGGGAATAGAATCTTAGATTTGAAAAGAGTAATTCTCTTAGAAAGATCTTCCAGAGAATAGAAATCATATAATTGCTTCGTCTTATGTCTGGCTGCAACTGTAAACTAGAGTTGAAGCTTGTTTTGCTGCTCCACTCCTTCGGTTCCGGTGAATAGGAGCTCTAGTTGAAGACCAGTCCTCTTTTTGTCACATTAGTTTTTCAACTGATTTGAATTGCATTTCTTGAATTATTTGACTAGGTGGCATGTTTTCCATTTGATGACCATAATTGCCCTCCGCTTCAACTCATACCATTATTCTGTCAAAGTGCATACTCCTGGTTGAAGGCGGACATTCAAAATGTAGTAGTAGTCCATTGTAAAGCTGGAATGGGCAGGACAGGTCTGATGATCTGTTGCCTTCTTCTATTTCTTAAGGTAATATTTTTTATCATGTCTCATCAATGATTCGTAGTGTATTTAGGTGAAAATAGGGTGTAATAACCCCATTAAAAAAAAAGTCATCCTTTGTTTCTACTGCAGTTCTTTCCGACTGCTGAGGAGGCCATTGATTTCTTCAACCAGAAAAGATGCATAGACGGGAAGGCTTTAGTTCTCCCAAGTCAGATTGTTAGTTGGTTTCATCTTTAGATTTATTTGCATATCTCAAGTTCTTTGGATGGTTTGTCTCTTCCTTTTTCTGATAAATGCTCTGCCTTTTCCCCCTTTTTGGTCTTTCTGTTTCTAGAGATATGTGAAATACTTTGAGCGCATCCTGACTTACTTCAATGGCAAAATTCAGCCTGGACGGAGGTATGTGATCCTTTTGTTACTTATGTTTGTAAGTTTGTATACTTTCTTTTCAAGAACTTGCTGAACGTGTGTTAATCTGATGTAGGTGCATGCTTCGGGGTTTTCGGCTTCACAATTGCCCTTACTGGATACGGCCTTCTATCACCATCTCCAATCATAGTGGTCGATTGTCTTTTAAGTTTTCGTCTTTCAAATCATCATTTTGTGCTCATGTTATTTTATGGGTTTTAGTTTGTTAGTATGTACAGGAAAATCTGGGTTGTGCCGTGATGGTATATAAAAACACATGAAAGCTTAGGCCCTGTTCACTTCCATTTTCGTTTCCTGTTTTCTGTTTTCATGTTACAAATTTGGGAAACGAAACGAGAAAACATGTTTACTTTTCATTCTGTTTTCTATTCGTTTCCAACTCTGAAAACAGAAAGTGGCAAATTCCTACTGTTTTCGAAAACGAAAAAATGTCGTTTTCACCTGTTTTCAACATCTGTTTTCTCAAAAACAGGAAACAGAAATGAAAGTAAACAGGGCCTTACTTTTTGTCTCAGAATTCATCATCTTTTGTTCGTTCCCTTAGGGTTACAGTGCAGTTTGTGATTCCGGAGTATATTAATGAAGTCCGTCTATAAACAATAGTAACTACTATGAAAGGAATATAGGGTTGTCTTTCTGCAGAGTCTATATCTGTCTTAATGTTGAACTTCACAACTACTGGACCAAGTCGGTTCGAGTCCTTGTTCTCGTTAAACTCATTTTGAATGGAAGACTACATGGACGCTATATCAGCTTTTGGAATAGATCTGTAGAAACCTGACACAGCAGAATACACATTGTACTGTTGCTAGACCAGATTCTTTATTTGCTTGCCGTTAAATGTCGTATTTGTAGAAATATAAACGAGGCTTTTTACCTTATGCACAGGAGTTCTATTCTCAACAAGAAATCATCCAAAAACCAAGGATTTGATGGTAATTTCTTGTTCATTCATGCTCTTCTGATTAATACTTGACAGCTTTCTGAACTTATGTGCAAACTGACTGATTCAGCCTGAGGACTTTTGGATCAGTGGCCGGAGGAAAGGAATTGTTGTTTTTGCTCTGCCAGGGGAACCTGGTCTAACCGAGTTGGTTGGAGACTTCAAAATCCACTTCCATGACCGCCAGGGGGACTTCTACTGGTTAGTCAACTCTTCTAACTTGAAGAATGTTTTGTCGGATATGTATTTGCCAAAATGCTAGTTGCTCCTGACTGCATAATACATAAGCACATTCCTAATTTCTTGCCTGAAAATAAACCTTTTATCCTCTCTCTTGCGGTCAGCTGGTTCAATACTACGATGACGGAGAACAGGAAAACGTTAACAGGGGACGAAATTGATGGCTTCGACAAGGTAACTTCAGATTCAGCCTTTCAGATGCCTGTCAAAGTTCTTTCCTCTTGACACATACTCTGCTGTTGTTAAAGTCGAAGCTGCATTTTCGCAGAGAAAACTGCCTTCTCCAGGATTCGAGGTTGAGATTGTGATGATAGATTACGATGGTACATCACCACCGGTAACTACAAAGACCAATTCAGCAAGCAACAGTTATAGCGCGTCAAGTTGTGCTGCAACAGCGAATACAGGAGGAGCTTATGTTGCTCCGAAGTCTTCTAATCAAAAGGAAGCGTCGGCGAGCAATGAGGAAGACGATGTATTCTCCGACAGCGATGAAGAGGACACCAAAGCAGCCTCAAAGAGCAAGCAAGGTCAAGGTCGGAGTGAAGGTCAAGCTGCTCCGCCTACTAGTGAACCGGCTATGTCCACCACAGAACAAATGAACAGCTTGACTCGTGGAACGAAGCAGGTGAGTCTCGGTCTTGCTAGTAAGGAAACTTCACAGCCAAGTGCGAGCAGCGAGCCAGCTGCCATTCAGAAACCTTCAGCGAGCGTGGGAACACCAAAGTTGGAGTCCGGGGCCAGCGATATCAAGGCGATGGCTGCTGATGCTTCGGTGTTCAGTTTTGGGGACGAAGATGATTTCGAAAGCGATTAAAAGATGACAGGTAGGCTCGTTCAGTTTTGACCAACAAGCTATACCATCTTTCGAATGGCCCCCTTTGGATCAGCGAATGACGCAATGCGAAATCGATATGGCCTGGAGCTTGCAAGGTTAGATTAGATGTCAATTGTATTAGTTGTATCAATTTCGTAGTGTTATGGGGTTATTTGGATGCCAAAGTTGAAAAGTGGTTGATTTTAACGCACCTATAAATTTCAGAATATCGGTGTTAGGTCACATTGATCTTAACAAAGCTCACTAATATTTCTGTATGAGGGCAAAATAAACATTAGGAGAGCCCAGTTTCAAGAGTACATATACAAGAAAAATAAATTTTCAAATTTATGAGGTGAAGGTGTTCAAAAAAAAAATTGATGCCCTCATGAACCATGATAATTTGAAGAGAGTGATCTAAATCTTTCCTTCAGTTAAATGTTACAGGACGCTTCATCAACGACAAACTTCAATACTAAATCAACCAACTCCGGTTCAAAATTGTGGGGAATATCGAAGACACGATAAAAGCGGATAACAGTAACAAAATCCTCTCCACGAGTTTAAAACCGTTACCGTCCCTTCTTAGTGGTCTTCGCGTCATTCAATTTCTGTTTGAGATCAGCAATGATCTTGTCCTGGGTAGCAATTTCGAGGTCTTTCGCACGTATATGTTGCTTCAGTTTTTCCATCTCTTTCAAGTGGTCGTCGCAATGATTCTTGACATCTTTCTCCTCCAGTTCTTGTTTCAATCTTTCAGTTTCTTTCAAGTGAGCTTCACCTTGGACTCTTAGTTCTTGCTTCAATCTTTCGATCTCTTCCAGGAGGTGACCATCTTCAGATGACTGATCCGTTTTTCGCTTCTTTTGACCACCGCGGTCCTCGAGTTCCAGAGCTCTCTTTTGCTGCTGATCCTGGAGAGAATCCTCGGGCACCATTTGACGTACACAAACAGTAGTAGTTTTTCCTGAGTCGGAGACGAGGGTGACCAGCTTCTGTGGGCGTCCAGCAGAATCCTTCACAAAACAGACAATGACAGAGACTCATACTAATTTCAATTACATCAATCCAATTCCTCCCAACTTATGGCAGATTTGGAATCCCCATTGCACTTCTGTTTGATTCCAAACATAAAAATGTGAATGGAATTGACACAGGAAATCAGATTCCTCTTAGTTTTTATTGATCCCAATCAGCCTGTAAAAATAAACAATACTTTGATACTACAGGAGATAGATACTAGTCATCAAACGATGCGAAACTTATGGCTAAAGGCGAGAGACAGAGCCATCAAACCAAGTCCTCTGGCCGGTAATTACCTTTTCAATGGAGCCATCTACTTTTTGGAATGCTTCATGTGCCTCTCGTAACTTCTTGAAAATGGCTAACACGGAGTAGTGTTTTCCCTGTCCTTTCTTAAGTGGCTGCCAAAACATTATTCCATCATCAGCACTATAGCATAAGGATAAAGAAAGCAAATAATTGATGTAACAATGCCCTAAAAACAATCGACCAGGTTACATGATGACTAGATCAAATCTATGAAGGAAGTTCACCATTGTGTATGGCTGAAATCGAAAAATTAATCTCAATGTAGAAAACAATAAGAAAATCCAAAATGTGATGGAGAACAAAAGAGTTAACCCTTGTCTGTAGAACCCATAGAATAACCCCATGGTTCAGAGTTCAAATGTAGCTGTGATTTGCAGAGCCAAAGGGCTAGTTTGATTCCGCTAAAAATTAAGAAAAATATCCCATCAATTCTACTTTCTTCGAAAATCTCACCATAGTTTCTCTCTACTTTCACTGAAACTTAAATCACAAGTCACTTTCTTTTTAGTAAAAGCTACAAACACACTCATTAACTTATGTACAGTGTTCTGGGACAGTAGCCTTCTAAAAATGAAAAGGATTAGGTTCACCTTTAGCTCAATAGTAAAGTTTGCAGGAAAGACTCTTCTTAGTTCTTCGGTTGGCACAGCGCTCGGTATTTTGTGAACGAGCAGCCTAGCAAGTTCATCATCAGGTACCTGCACGCTTGCCAACAAATTTAGTAAGTTCAATGAAATCTGCATCATAACCTTAATAAAGTGAGCTTGTTTAACTTACACTCTTCAGGTTAGATACAAGCAACGGAGTTTCTTTATCAACTCCATGCTTGAGCTTAGCCAGTACAATTTTCATAGCAGTACGTGCATCATCTAAGCAATTGTGAGGAGCACCTTCCTCTCGAAGCTTATAGCCTAGAATTGACTGTAAAATTTGAGCGAAGATTAAACATGTGTCTTGAATGAAACATGTTGCAAATAATTCGCTGAATTTTACAGCTTCTAGAATTCCAACCAACTGATTATATCATAGACATTCATTAAACAAGGAAAAGGAGAACTTGAGAAGCAGCTTACAAAAAATAAGGCATAATGATCATTCAGAAACTTACCTCACACAAATTACTCAAAGATGGTACACGCCCAACCGAATTTTTGTAGATAAGTGACGTGTCTATAATTCTTGCGTGGTCCAACTTCAATGCTGCCATTGATGACAAACGTAAAAGAAAACGATCAAGTTCTACTGAAAACAAATCAACATAAGCCCAGCCACATACTTGAAGCATAAAAGTGTTTTGTCACGTACCAAGCAGGTCATTATGTAACCCATGGCCCACTAAAATGGAACCTTTGGACAATAGCTTTTTCAAGGATTTCTGAAAGAGAGTGCAGGAGAACAACTTCAGACAATAGATCGGTCAATCAAACAATGATAGTTAAGAGACCATAGTCTCGGTACCTGTATATCTCTCAAGGAACATGTAACATTATCCAGATCTCCAGGATGGATTCCAGTAATTTCAGTTCGATAATCTGCAACTGGCTTGTAAGGGTTTACTTTCTCGTGGAGCTTGACCTAAGATTTAAGGCTAATTAGTCAGTTCCAATAAAATGGAATTATCCAAATTTCATGAACAAAGCCGGCCAAATGAAAGGACCAACAAAAAAACCAAGATTGGGAACCTGTAAATCACGGTCCACAACACAGACTCTCACTAAAGCATCAGTACCATCCTCACAAAGAACCATCTCACAATCAAGAGCAAGCATCTCATCCGATTTTACCAGCTTGGACATTTTACAGGGTTTTGTTACAACCCAATCCTGCCACATCACATGTAGCAATAATCAAGATACGATAGAGTTTGATAATTGACCTAATTGATTCAACCCGCTAGTACTGCCATCAAAGTAGAGGAATGTAAACCGCAAAAACAAACCTTTTCATATGATGGGAACACATACTTCGCCATGAAAAGTGGATGTTCAAGAGTTAAATGAACCAGCCTCTGCACTGCCACGGTTGCAAATTTCACCACAGGTTAAACACATTAACCAAACCACAGTCCAAATCCAGAAGGCATAGAAACATTCACAGATTGCCCCAGTGATTCCCCAGAAAACCAACGGAAAACTGAAAGCAGTTCCCAAAAGCAGCCAACCCACTGAACCAAATGGAGCTCAGCCCTATACCTGTTCAGGAGACACATCGCCTGAAGCCTCTTTGGCAATCTGCAGCAACACCTCCCGGCTTGAATGCGACTTGAGAACATTATCAACAAACTACAACAAGAGAAAGAAACAGACATTTCAAACAGCGAAGTTTACAGGTCCTGAAACCGCTTGATTAGAGAGAACAAATTAATTTCATTCCGAGGTGGTTGGTTTACCTTGGAATCCTCTTCTCCGCTAAATGTTTGAAGGAAAGAAGCCAAAGCTTCTTTGGGCCTCTTGCCAGGATCACTGAGTGAAGAGCCAAACTTCTTATCGTAGACATTGAGGAACTCCTTCCAGCTTCCCTTTGTGCCCTTGCGCCCCTGCCTTTGCGCTAACTTCACAATCTCGGTCAGAACCTGTGCCAGAACAGATTACGGACCAGAGTGAAGGGGAACCTTACATTAGTTTCTGCTAACTTGCGACGGTGGTAACTCGATTGAAGTGTTGCAGGGGATTGAAGGAGGAAGTAGAATAGAACGAAATCGACGTAGGGATAAGGAGAGGGAAAAGCTCACCTTTGCCGGAGCGGCGGCGATTACGGCGGCTAGTTTGTCGTCCATTTTAGGGATTTCTGGTTGAGAGAAAGGGCTGCTGGCTGCTGCTAAGCAGAAAAAAGCCGGGAACAGCTGCAAGAGGGTTTAGAGTTGAACGTTGCTGCGTGCCTTCGCTTGTTGTTATTAGTTAGTACATGCCCTAGCCCCTAGGTTACTTTCCTTTCGTTCGCAGCGCAAACTCGAACCGGCTTCCTCGATAGGAGAAAGGGTTTTTCTCCAAGAAATTGTGATTTCACTTACACTATGTTCATGAAGGAAGGGAGGAAAAGGAGGGGAGGGTAGGAAAATTTGGAGGGGAGGTTAAGTTTGGAAGGGAGGGAAATTAGAGGGAATTGGAAAGAAAATGTTGTTTAATGGAGGAAAGTGGAAGGGAAAGTGGGAGGGAAAAAGTAGATTGAGAATTGTGATATGTATTATATTTTATTGATGATAGAATAGTTAAATAATTTAATTATGTGTTTATACTATTTACATTAATTATGTAATGTGGATCAAATTTGTTCTTCTTTGTTAATTTTGTTAACTATAACAAATCAAAAGTTGGTTATTTGAATGAAATTTGTCAACCTATTACTAAAATTTTGTTAACTATTTTATTGAGTAATAACATAGCAACTAAATATATAAAGATACAACAAATTACAGATACATAAATTGTAAGAGGAGCGTAACAAGTTTTTATATCTCATACAACAGTGTTATGTATCGTGCAAAACTTTGTTACGTATGAGGTAAATCATCTATCTTGTTTGGTAGGATATTTCATGTCATTATCTTAATTATAAGGATTAATACCGATTATTACAAATATTACTTATTCCTATCTATATCTATAACCCACGTCATCTTCTTTTCATTTTAGTTTTGAGTTTGTTGGACCAAAGTAACAAAAATAAATACGAAAGAAAAGTCTAAAATAAATAAGTACAAGTAATTAATCCAAACAAATAACACATAATTTAAAATAATTACACAAGCGAATTGCAAGACATGACTAACGTTTGTGTAGTTGCACTAAAACCCTCCACTTTAAAAAAGGAAACCATCAAGTATTAAAGTAGCTGAAAGAAAAAGAAAAAAAGGTAAAATTGCACAACACAACTTTCCCTCCGATTTGGTGGGTAGCTTGGTACAGTGTTTTTTCTTTTCCTTTTCTTTCCTTGGTTACTGTTCCAGATCTACAAAAACAGGGGAAAACATCTGAGAACTTGTGCTTCCCCTCTAATCCCTCCCCTCCCCTCCCTTTCCCTCCTTCATGAACATAGTGTTAGGAATGTCCATGCTCGGTTCGAAGTGAGTATTTCAATATTCATGTCCGTCCAGTAGCATGTCGGGTTAAGGCTGGATATTTTGTTTTGGGGTGCAGTTTGGGTCAGATCGACAAATATGAGCAGAGTTGCAAATAAGCCAAACTGCTTATCTCACGGTCTTGACTTGGGTCGTGAGATTGAAACACGTTGTTTCACTTAAATACGTCGATTTGACTTTAAGTCGTGAAACAAGTAAGTCACGGCTTAAGCCGTGGGATGTGGTGGTCGTGAACCAGGTAGTGAGATAGATCGTGAGACAGGTCATGGGGCAGGAAAAACTTTCTGGAACTTTTAGCCATCTCACGACTTTTTGGCTCATCTCACGGGTTATCTCACGGCTTGTCCGCCTAAGCCGTGACTTGGGTGCCAGCTTTACGTCGTCTCGTGTTTTGCTCTCCAATCTTCCCGAAACTCACCCCCAAGCTTTAGATCATGCACTAGGACATGTAATACGACAGAAACACACAACCTAGTGTGAAACCAACACGAATGGGGGCGTTTCACACCCAAATGATCAAGAAACGACCAAGTATTAGGAGACAAAAAAATATATAATTACGAACGTATCAAACTCCCCCACACTTAGCCATTTGCTTGTCCCCAAGAAAACCTGACTCAAACTAGTGCAACTCACTAGACTCTTACAACAGTATGCAACTTTCGTTCATCGATAACGGGTTATTAGCAACTTACGAGGTCAACCGGAGACAAGACATCTCCCAACCACTTCAGTGAGAACCACATCTCAAGTTAGGACAAGCCGAACAGTATAACTAGGGCAAACAACTTGTGAATGGAGAGAATCTCAAAAACATCAAAACCGTGCACCCAATTTTCGTGCTCCTCCTTTAGAGAAGCTCAAACTTTCGAACTTCAATTAAATTTGGCTGCACGTTGCAGCACCTCATTGTTTTGAATGCAAAAGCTCTTATTCTCATGACTAGAGCAGAATTGGCATTCACTTCTCAATCTAGTCCATGCGAGGAAAGTGGTGCAACAGAGGATGGCAAAGTGAATAGTGAAGTTGGATGTTAATCGACTTGAGTAGAGGTCTCTCGACTTGAGCAAGAAAAACCATCTCTTCTATATCAAGTCACATAAGGAAGAGAACTGTAAGGGAGTGCCGAAATTAGTAGGAGAAGGTTGGATGATTAATCCGATTCTCCCTTACACAACTCTCAAAAGCGCATTGTAGTACTTGGACCGGCTGCCACAACACGTGAAACGTCTATTTTTTCATTTTTAAAGCACATTAAGAGCACCTTTTCATTCAAACATTTTAAGTCCACAAAAACGGGTGAGAGTAATCAACACTGCACAAATCACACATCCAAACATGACTATTCAACACGTCAACAAACATAGTAGGAAGTGGAGAGGAAATATCTCATGCACCAACATCTTCCATAATGCTCCACTAGCCTTCTTAGGTTGCATACTACCATGAAATCTAGCAATTCAAACACACTAAGCAGGTAATCACAAGGGACAATGTACTTGGAGCCCTCAAATTAAATATTTGGACATTGAACTAGACTCTAAGCACTCTCAATATAGGCCAAACATTCATTCAAAAGCAATGCATCTAAGATAATCAACACCCTCACACTTAAGTACGACATTGTCCTCAATGGAGGAAGATAAGGGGAAGGTGGAACGAAGTTACCGGACATACGACGAATGTTGAACGAAATGGAGAAGGACCAGTCACCAGGAGCAGCTTGGTATTTTTAGGAAACCCATTCAAACACTTAAAAAGGGTTGATCTACAGACCAAGCATAAGTTCACAAAACACAAACAAAACACAAATGTTACAAAGGAAAACAAAACACAAGGGGGGACCTTAGGGGCCATCACTCCTCCTTGTCACTCTAGTCCTGGGCGGGCACATCGAGTCCAAAGTGGTCGAGGAGTCGCTCTTGCATGGTCTCAATGCGAGGAGTCCTGGTCTCTAAGGCATCGAGAAGGGCAGAGTGGTCGGAGGAACAACTCGTGTGGTCGCGGTACTGAAGAGTCGGAGGTGGAGTGAAAAGCAATGGTGGTACCTGCTGTTCATCGACAAGTGGGACGCCTGCAAGGGTAGCAGCAAGGAGGGGCATATGAGGAAGGCGATGGAGGTATCGAACACCATTGGTCTCTTGCAAAAGCGGCATGTGCCTCAATGTCGACTCGGGTAGATCAACGGTACAACCAACGAGGGTGCACCCAGTGAGTTTGAATCTAAAGTATCGGGAAAGCCAAGTGATGTAGGGCCCACCACCGCCGCCCATCACCACCTGAAATACCACCACACCACCAACACTTTTTCATCCTCAATTGTCGTCGACGTCATCATAGTCTTCCTTAAACCCTGCGGTGGAGATGAGAGTTGGGCATGAGAGATGATGAAACGTCCTGTAAATCTCGAGATGAGCTATTCGATTTGGGGGTTATGGATGGGTTTGAGAACTGGGTTTGGCTTCTTCTTGCTCGGTTGAAACTTGAAAGATAGAAGAAGGATCGGGGAGCCAGGATAGGCAGATTAGAATGGGAACAAAGGGAGCAGCGGTGGGGGAGAATTGGCGAATGACGGACGAGGAGGGTTCCAGATTTAGGGATTTTTTTTGTTTTCCATTGGAGAGGGTTTTGTGGGGAAAAATGGTTATCCTTTTTATATTTGATTCATGTACTTATAATAAAAAATCATCTAATTTTGTTTTTTCACAAAAAAAAAAAAAAATGCCACGTCAGCAAAAATCGTTAGTATAGTTAGCATTCTTTATAATTCTCTTAAAGTTATTGACGAAATGACTATTTTAGTATATTTTTCTAAAAGTGGCTATTATTGTCACAATGCGAATAGTTATGGCTATGAAAGTGTATTTTGCCTTGTGTTTTACAAGGGCTGAACAAATTCTTTTATTTTCTTATTTTCAATTTTGTTGTTTATTTTTAGAGATAAAATCTATTAGAACCTATCAAAAGGTCGCATTCATTGTTATTAAGTGAATTTACATATTATTGATAAAGATGAATAATTAAAGTGTAATTAAAAAAGTATACCAATTGGAATTAGAACTTGTCCATCGAGGAAGGGTGAGAGCCAACTATAAGGTGATGTGGCACTAATTTAGTTTTGATATCCTATAATATTAAGTAAGAATAAGGATGCTCACTAGACTGCATGTCTGATTGTAATTCACCCACGTCAATCGCCTTCGGTTTCACATGTTGTGGGAGAAAGGGTTAAGCATATTGGCTCCCATAGAAAGAAAATGCTCTCGAAAAAAAAAAGACAAAACGAGACGATGGCCAACTTCAAAACAGAAAAAATGTTACCGAATCCTAGTTAAATAAGGATACACGACACAAAATTCAAAAAATTGGAAGCTCCGTAATTCAGCTTCAAACCAATGTTTATTTGTGTCAGATATTTAAAAAAAAAATAATGAAGGTGGTGAGCGGTACTAAGTTAATTATATAGAATCTCAATTCAAACCAAATTAAAAATACAAAATTTTTTTATGTGGATTGCTCAGAAGATGATGATGATGTTGTTGTTGTGGTTCCGGCGATAGCTTCCTTAGCAGACTGGAGCGTGCTTGCGACAGAAGCTGCGGCAGAGGCCAAAACGCCGCCGCTTGTGTTGGACTTTGGTTGAGGAGGAGGAGGATTGTGATGGATCACCTCCACTTTCCTCAGCTCTTGTCCTTGCCCTGCCGACGACCGGTAATCCACCGAGGTTGTCTTTGTTTCCTCCTGACCATGGGATTTCTCTGCCTGCGTCTCCTGCCAAAATCCAAAATATTTTTCTAACCAAACCAAGAAAAAAATACAAAACCCTATTCCATGATCTAAAGTTGTGCAATGTGTTCATACCTTCATTGCGTTTGAACTCATGGTGATTAATTAATGGGTTGATTTTATTGATTGAGAGGCTTCGTTTCTTTCCTTTTTCTTTTGAGTTTTTTCCTGTAGTCTTTTTCTTCTTTCATAATGGTTTCTCTGTTTCTATGATGTTAGGGATAAGTTCGATGCTTCGAAGACCACTCTTTGGCCGAAAAACTTGGGTCGAAGATGAGGAGGGCGTTTGTGGTTCTACCCTCTCTCTCTGCTGCTATCATGCAGACGACTCCACTTGTAATCACAAACATATTTTGGTCCACTGAAATTTTCTTCCAATACGACATTGTTTCTGTTATGATGAGACACAGATAGAATAAACCTTTGAAAGTATGATGTGATAATTTTTTTAGAATGTTATTTGTCGTCACTGCCAAATTGTTAATTAGATTTAGAAAAAAAATTAGGTAAATCCCAATCTGAAACATGAACTTTTAGTTATTTTGTGTTCGCGAATAGAAAAGGAAAATTAGAAGAAGAATGATGAAGATTTATGGGGGCAACAATTTTTTATTATGTCTATCACCACTTGGACAACTTCTTATGAACAATTTGTAAAGATCAGTAGATCTTTGGTCAAACACAAATGTGTAAGCCTGCCCTACTGCACTGGGGATGATAAGGAAGATTTAGTCATGCACCTTATCCGCAACCTAATTGCTGTGGTTGCTCTTATCATTAGTATTATTGGTTTTGCCATTTTAGTGGGTTGTGTACGAGTGGGCAGGGTCGTTTGGTTCATTTATATATTATTAATTGAAGTTCATAATTAATATTTTTGGTGATGTGGACTAACAATTAATCAAAATTAACAAATTTTTGGATGAAAATGTACGAAATAACCAATTTGTTATATGCTCAAATATGTTTTACCGCATCATGTAAAATAAAAAAATGGGTTAAAGACACATTTGGTTACTGAGATTACAAAATCGGGACATGTTTAGTCACTAGAAAAAGTTAATATCAAATTTGGTCACTATAATTACTAAAACTGGACGCATTTAGTCACTCGCCGTTAGTCTCCGTCCAACTCCGTTAATGAAGTCCGTTAAGTGCTGATGTGGCAAACAGAATTGCCTAATCAGCCGGATATAACCAACAAAAATAAAACCCGACCCGCCACGTCATTATAACCCGCCACCTCATTAAAACCAACCCAACCCAACCCATGACCAAACCCTACCCAACCCTTCTTCCTCCTTCCTCCCCAACCCAATTTAGGGTTTTCCCCATCCCATCCAAATTCGCTGAGCGGGGAGAAGATCTTTCCGCCATTAATCTGCCGCCCTTCCTTCATCTTCTTCCTCTGTCATTCCCAATTCCAAAATTTCGAAACAGCTTACCTCATCGGCAACGATGGGACCGGGGGCGTTAGCTTCGGCGCTAGGTCCGGGAGCCCCGACCGGAGGAGCGGGAGGGCTCGACAATGAAGGAGAGGGAGCCGGAGATCCGCTCTTCTTCTTCGACGTCTTGCTGTGAGCCGGCGCCGGAACATCAGCAGAGGGAGGAGAGGCGGTAGGCGTAGCGGCGGCGGCGACGGGAGCAGGCGTAGGAGGAGCAGTAGCTGCTGCAGGCGGATTATAACGACGTGGGTTGGGTCATGGGCCTTTCCTTCTTCGCCCTTGGCTGGGTCATCAAAGGCGGTAATCCTCTCCCCTCCTTCAAACCCGACGACGACAACAACAAACCTTCCTCTTCTGTGACCGCCGATGCCGATGCTCGCCGTTGAATCTGGCTCGTGAGTTTCCGCTCTCTTTCTGATTGGATTTTCAGGAATTTCAAATCGGTCTCTCCTTCTCGCTACTATGATCACTGATTTTGCAGTTGGGTTGCCTGTATTTCAGCTGCTTGAATTGGTCGATTCCAGTGTTCATCCTTCTGTATTGATCATCAACTACGGAAATGTCTGTTTTGCAGGCGAATGAAGAATGAAGAATGCAGACAAAAACCACCATGGGTTGGGTTGGGTTGGTTTTAATGAGGTGGCGGGTTATAATGACGTGGCAGGTCGGGTTTTATTTTTGTTGGGTTATATCCGGCTGATTAGGCAATTCTGTTTGCCACATCAGCACTTAACGGACTTCATTAACGGAGTTGGACGGAGACTAACGGCGAGTGACTAAATGCGTCCAGTTTTAGTAATTGTAGTGACCAAATTTGATATTAACTTTTTCTAGTGACTAAACATGTCCCGATTTTGTAATCTCAGTGACCAAATGTGTCTTTAACCCTAAAAAAAATTGTAAACGTTTTGAACAAAATGCAAAATTTTGTGACCGTTAATGCTAATTACCCATAATATTCCATCAAACATAGATGCAGGCGGCCAAGTATTATACCACAGAGTTACATAAATCCTAAGCATCACTTCTTGTTGATCAAAAACCTACATTATGCAGTTGTAATAGTAGTAACAACCTAGATGGAAGAAGAAGATTCTTCCACACAAGGTCCAACACAGAGAAAGGAAATGGGAAAGTCCAATCATGGCTACACCAAGCTGCAGAGTAAATCAAAGATCAGTAAGTCATAAGAGGTGACCCACTGCAATGGACATCAGTAGCATCTGGGAACCTTTGCCTAGGAGACAAGTTATTGATGCCAGCAGCCTCCACATCCAGGTTTCTAATGCTCTTCCTCTTCTGAGAATCTGGGTTCACCATCTTCTCCTCTGATGATAACACCTCTGGGATGGGACTCAAGGACCCTGCTTCTTCATTCTCCTCCTGACAGTTGAGAGACATCATGGCTCGAGCCTCTGCAACTGCTGACCCATCGTTGTCTGCAGCATACAATATCTGCTGAATTGCAGCAATAACCTGAATATTCAGAGTAGTAACACATGGATTAGAGGGTATGAAAAGAGCTCTGAAAAACAAAAAACAAAAAAATCATCAAAGAGAGATGGGTGAAGCTTTCTCTCACAGGCAGTCCTTCAAGACCAGGGCTCTGGCAGAAAAGCTCAACATCTCTCAGCTTGGCAAAGTAGTAGTCTCTTTCCTTCTCAAGGCTATCCACGGATAGCTTCAGTTCTGTGATCTGCTACCATTCAAGTAGTCCATGTCAGACGCATATAAAGCTCAATCAAAGCAAACAACTAACGTTACTTCTGACTCTTACCTGTTCTTCATATGCTGGTGCAGGCGGTGGAGGTCTAGCAGCCTTCACGTTTAGGGTCGAAGACGAGTTGGAGTTCACTGAAGAAGAAGACTCATGCCTTCGACCGTGGTGGGACTGTGCTTTGGGGGCAGCCGCAGTGCCTTTGGCCGAAGTTTGAGCCGGTGGACCTTTCTTCCCTACTTCTTTTCCACCCTTGCTACCCTCTCTTCTCTCGATTGGGTTGTAACTGTGAGTTAAAAAGCCAGCCAAACAGGAGCCAATTCACACTTCTGGTCAAAATTTACAGCACTGCTTCCCAAACAGCATTCTCAAATCCATATACACAGAACCCCAAAAGCGAGAAATTGAATCAAAATCTTCTAAAGCCAGTAACCAACTAATAGGCGTCGGTTTTCATGCTTAGAGAAAAACGTAAGAAAACAGCCAATCGCGGCGGTCGAAGAAGAGGAAATTCACCTGACAAGGCCACCATTGACGGAATCGCAGTAGCGCTTCAGCCACTGCATGAACTCCAGATTATCCAGAGGCCTCCCTTTCACAAGCTTGCTTACTTCAATATGCTGTCCAGTCGAAGGAAAACAGGGAAACAATAACACTTAAAAAAAGAACGGAATCAATCGCGCGATTTCATTCAAACAAAACGTGGAAGTCGCTAATCCATTTACCTTTGTGATTTTGAGTTTATTGAACACATCCTGAAGGACCTTGTAGTTCTGAATCATCTCGTACTCGCTCTTGGCATCGAAATTGACCTTGTGCATCGGCACCATCCCTGGATGAACCGCGTCCAGAAGCTGACAGTGAACCGCTCCAGAGCACGCCTGGAACCAAACAACAGATCTAAGTAAGAGAAATTTCTTCGGGGCGAGAAGTTAGGGTTTCAGAGAATAGCGAAGGAAACAAACCTCTTCGACTTTGGAGAGATTGAGTTGGAGAGTGGAGTTGATCCAAGCGAGAATCTCCGATCTGCCGACGAAGTACGCCGCATCCATCATCCCGATCTTCGTCGCCATCTCCGACTCTCTCCGCCGGTTCGTAACTCGGTGAAATCCTCTGGTTTCTCTGCGATTTTGTTGAGAGGAATGAGAAGTGAGATCTCTCGTTTACCGTCCTCCGTCTCTCCTCGGCTTATGAGTCCACACAAGGCGCGTGGTTTTCCTGACTTTTGTTGAGAGAGAATAGCGAAACAGAACAGAAAGGAAGTGAGAGTGGGGAGAAGAGCGGGCTCTTTTACAATTCAAAATCGGGATTGACATGTGACCGTTACAGAATCGGGTTATGCGGGTAGGGTTTTCTGGAAACCCGGATTTATTTGGGCTTCCACCTCACCAGCCCAGCCTCACAAGTTGGGCCACAAATCATTTGCAGCCATAGTGGCAGGCTTCCAACAACATGAAATGGAGGTGCCCAGGCACTTTTTTTTTTTTTTTTTTATAAAAGGGAGGTAAGAACGAAGGAACAGCTCTACCAGGTACAAACAAAAGGCAAACGCCCAGCTACCAGCTAAAACTCAACAGCCGCACACAGGCAGGAGGCAAAAAACAGACTCGATCGTGGAAAAAAGACGGAACCAGCGGGCCAAAAGTTACCCCTCCCTAACAGCCCATCGGGGAAAGCTAACTTCGATGATGTCTTCTCTAATGATCCGGGCAAGCTCTTGAGGTGGGTCCTCCAGTTCATAGATACCGAAGGGGTAGACGAGACTGTGCTTCGAGAGCCAGTCCGCATCTCTATTCCCTTCTCGGTAAGTATGTCCTAGTTGAACCACCCAATTTAGAGAAAGAAGACGCCTAATCTCACCAAGAATACTGGCATGAAGATGCAAAGGGTCATTCGGTTGTCTGATCAGGTCCAGGGCTAGAGCGGAGTCAGATTCCAAAAGTAGAAACTGAATGCCCCTTCTCCAAGCGAGTTTAAGGCCCTGAAGAATGCCCCAGAGCTCCGCCATAATAGTTGTGCCTGTACCAATTCTGTGGAAGAATGATCCCCTTGCTGCAATGTCCCCTCTATGGCCTTGAGCAGCGCCATCCGTGTTCAGTTTAAACCAGCCCAGACACTCGAAAGCTTGAAAGGGAGGTTCCATACTTA